AGTCGGACTCCATCTGATTAATCAGTACAATGAAGCAAAAGTCTACAACTTCTGTATTTTACATTTCTTGTTTCCTTTTTTTACTTCTGTCTATCAGCTGGAGGAGTTGTGCAGTAGTGAAAGAGTCCAGACTGACGTCACTGATGAACCACAAGAGGTTCTTAGAAATTCTGTCATCCTGGATCAGCTGGACTCAGACTGTCTCAGTGAATGCAGCCAGAGTGTTGTCCCTGCACAGTTAAGCTCAATTTACCTGCTTGTCAGTGCCATGGAGGGTGAGAAAAACTCAAAACACAGGACAAACGCTGCAGTCCTTTTTTTTTTTAAATAATTTTGAGTAACATAACTTATTACAGTCTTTTTATTTCTCCCATTTCCAATCTTGTTTTTTCCTGCTTTTTGTAGAACTACCTGATGAAACTTTAAGCCTTTTGAGCGACAGTCGACCAGATTTCCTGGCTTCTTTTGACAAACTGGTTAGTTAACTAAATTTAATCTTTTTAAATATTTACTTCAATTTGTTGCACATGGTATTTTTTTTTGGGGGGGGGGGGGGGCTCGTTAACATTGCTTCAAATATTTTTAGAGAAAAAAAAAAACGTTCTGCTGAGATTTTAGTGAGAAAAATACGACATTTTAAAAAACGCTTTTTGGTGAATTCGTTCAACCTTCATTTAGACAGGTAAATCCCACTGAGCCTCGAGGACTCATTTACAAGAGAGACCTGAATCAGCATGGACCTGAAATGCAAAGCTTATGAGAAACAATGATATAATGTTCTGCTTTTTCCATGCTCTATATTTACTTTGTGCCCTCGAAACCACAACAACAATGGAGCCATTTATACCAGGTTTTCTATGTCTCTCTCATTTTAACTTGACCCTGACATCATTAAATTTGTATTTTATGCTGAATAATATATTAGCTAACGAGAAATTGTGAACAGTTTCTAATAAAATAAAACAAGCTAAAACATAAATTGTGCAATCCTTACATGCATTAATTAGGCCCACTTTACACAAACCAGGGGTCAAAGTTCAGCTTGGCTGCCAGTCTCCATGAACTATATGGGTGGTGAACTCTGACGTAGCATACTATACCTGTGGTTTCATTATAATTTTGTAGGTGTCTCCAAATCAGTATTTGAAAGTAGCAGTCTAGTTCCTGCATTTTGTTTGTATTTTTTAAGAAAAAAAACTTCTCCTTTTAGGACTTGCCTGGCCAGTACCTTACCAGTTATGGAAAAGATAACCAGTTTAGATTTAAAAAAAAAGTGCCATTTTTGTGCTCCATTGATGAGTTAAGTTTAAGTCAAAGTTAATAACTTCACTTATTTATCAATAACTTTTTATCTAAATAAATGGTGCTCACCATATATCTATGTGCTGATGGCTCTTGGATATTAGTGTTAACCGCGATCAGTTGCGTTTAAAAAAATTGCTCAAAATTGTAACTAATAATAAATAAGAGGGTAACGATTTGTTTTTATCATGCGGAATAGCAGCCAAGCTGGACTTTGAACTCTGACTCTTCGCTTGGTTTGGATTAGTTAAGAACTTTCTTCCTCTGTAGTTTGATACATAGATTTTGTGGACATTCTCGCCACCTAGTGACGATGCTGTGCATTGCAGCATTTTTGTTGAACTCATGTACACAAAGACATTTTATAAACAAATAAAAATAATGCACATCTGTTTAAAGTACATCCAGATTAGTGTAGCTTGGGCTACAATATTTGAAAGCATTTTAAATACCATATGATTTTTCATCAAACTCAGTGGTTTGATTGGCTGATTTTTAAACAGTTTTTGAAAACTTTCTTGTTTCTGCTCACTTTTTGAAAAATTATAGTCATCAAGAGTAAAACATGTCACCTGTTTCAGTCCAGATGTAACAAGTTCCAACTATGAGACATTTACTGCTCACCAATTAACATGTTCACCTTCGTAAAGTCTAAATCCTTGCATCATCAGCTAAACACAAGCTGCTGAGTGAAACGTTAATCGCCTTCATGTCTTCACATCCTGCATTCTCTGCACTGATAGCATCTGATTATTACCCAACAGATGGTCTGGTTACAGGAGAGCAGCACGCCTCTGTCCATGCAGTCTATTCCTGTGGCGCTGCAGGACAGCCAGTTCTTCCAGCAGGCGGAACAGCTGCTCAGCTCCATCAACGTGATGCTCAGGACAGACACAGACCAGCTCTGGATGGAGACGGGGGACAGCAGGGACGTTCTCCTCCTGGTCCTCAGTCTCAGTGTGTTTGGGCTGTCACTGCTTTGTGCTAGTCTGCATGAATAATAATGTCTATCTTTCTTTTTTGGCTAACACTATTTATCTAAACATTATATTTGCCCTGAACAACAATATAAATGCAATACTTTTACTTTTGCTCCCATTTTTCATGAGCTGAACTCAAAGATCTAAGACTTTTTCTTTGCACACAGCAAGCCTTTTTCTCCCAAATGTTGTTCACAAATTTGTGTGTGTTAGTGAGCACTTCTCTTTTGTCGATCATCCATCCACCTCACAGATGTGGCGATTCAAGTTGCTGATTATACAGCATGATTATTGCACAGGTGTGCCTTAGGCTGACCACAATAAAAGGCCGCTCTAAAATGTGCAGTTTTATCACACAGCACAATGCCACAGATGCTGCAAGTTTTGAGGGGGCAGCAATTTGCATCCTGACTGAAGGAATGTCTACCAGAGCTGCTGCCCATGAATTTAATATTCATTCCTCTACCATGAGCCGTCTCCAATTGTGTGGACAGGAAAAGTCTTAGATCTTTGAGTTCAGCTCATGAAAAATAGAAAAAAAACACATAAGTGTTGCGTTTAATTTTTGTACAGAGTATGGTCACCTTCTTTAGTTTTACTATTATTTATAGTAAGACACTGTAATATTCAACATTTTTCAGTCAGGTCATCTGGACAGTTTCTTTCTTTTGTGCTGAAACATTTCGCCTTCGGTCCGGAAGTCTTCGCTGTAATATTACTTTTATTACTAAGTTCAAGTCAAGTTAAGTTGATTGTCATTTGAATCAAAATTTGAGGTGGAAATTATGCACTCAAGGTCCCAGTTATACCTAAAAATAGCAAAAATATAAAGTGTAAAAATAAAAGTATATAATGATTTAAGATATACACTAAGATATACGCTAGACGGACACTAAACGGTACACTAAAAATCTAAGATATAATAATGTAAAACAATACAGCGTATACAACAGCAGCCTGAACATGAGTCTGTGGTGAGTAGATGGGTATTAATGAATACAACAGCATGGATAATTCACATATCACCAATTAAAGTGGGATTACGGTGATTGCATCTCGTTTGTTGGTGTAAACACGGTCGTGTGTTATTTCCCCGTGTTGGAATGGTGACATGCTGATAAAATCTTAATTCTAGTTTATATTATTATCAAACATTCTTTTTATATTTTAAACAATACTATATTTTTGTATTGAAAATGGAAACATTTGTTATAAGATGTAGATGTTGTGATACGGTGGTGAAGCGGTTGTCTAAATCTCTAAAGTATTTGGGTCAAAGACCTCAGACACCTAAATACTTAGAGGAACATCGTTATTCCAGTTGATTCTAAGGGTTAAATACATAGAAAATACACAGTGATTGAGCTAAAAGTTGTCAAATATAAACTCAAATGATTACCTCTTGCATATTTTAGTTTTTTCTTATTTAAATAAAAATGTAAAATCGCAGTAATGCCAACAAGACTGAAACTAAAGAGTTTCAAACGTTGATGTTATTGCATGCCTTATCTTGCCATGAGTTTTGTTTCAAAATCTTCTGACTTTTCTTTCATTTCTTTCTTCTCCTAAAATTTATTGTTCTAATCACAGATGAAGCTTTTTATGTAACATTCCCTTGAATACTTACAATTAATTATTTACAAAAAAAGGCTGCGTGGTGTTAAAATCCAGCCCTAGCATTACAGTTGACACGTTTTCTCATGTGCTTTTACTTTTTTTCTTTAATTGGCTTTTCACTTTCTCAGTTATTTTGAAATTGATGAAACTTCATAAATGTATTTTATAACTTGTTGCAGTTTATAATTCATTTTGTCGTAACACTGAACTTCATCCTTCTTTCTTGGAAAATGAATTTTTTTTTAAGTTTCTTGGGTAATTGCTCAGAATATGTTTAAAAATATTTGTTGAATTAAATGACTATAAAAATACAAAAGAACATGACTTTTTAAAATCGTTTTGGTTGTTGTAATCATCAAGTGTTGTTGGTTTCAGTTTGAACATACTGTATCTATAAACTAAGAACATCCACATGCTCTTGGAGGAGGAATTGAAGGAGAATGCAGTGGTAGTAAGTTCTGCTTTTTTAACCAAAATCATAAAGATAATTATACTGATTTATAATCAGGATTTGTTGGTCTCCTATCAGATATTGTACTGCTCACTCAGCCTGTACAGTAATTCTCCTTTTCCACTCAACCAGGCCCTGCTTTCTGTTTTTAGAGCTGGCTGTACCACACAGGTGTTTCAATAAAGATCAATCAGAACTTGTGCTCACAGATTACAAATAATCTCTACCCAAAAATATTACATATTATAGACACTTCATTCATTTATAGTGTATATGCTTAAATCCAGACAATCAGTGTTTAGCTGAAAAGATAGAAACCCTCAAATCTTGCAACATTGTTTGGATTTAAGATGAAGTCTGAGAAAATCTAAGTAGATAGTTGAGGTTTCTGGAAACATAAAGGCAACTTGATGCACGAGGTGATAAATCACTCATAAAATATGTCTGATTATGTCTGGCCTTGTAGGGTAACTCAGACATAATGGAGTGGCGCAGAGTTAGAGAAGGTGAGGCGGTTCAACCCACCTGGACCAACAACATCAAGTGGAAAGATGAAGCACCCACACCTGCCTCCACCCTCGCTTGCCCCAGCCTGGGCCACTGAGCAAGGCACGCCATCCGCTCCCTGGGTGCCAGCCCTGCTCCACACAGAGGGCTGTGGTAGCTTGGTGATCTATTGTGAAGGCATCCGGCATGAAAACAACTGCCAAGTCTTTGTGCAAATGAATTTGCTATGACCCGAGGAAGAAAACAACTGAAAGAATTAAGAAAAGGTAATTCAGACATGATGGACTAACATTACATAATGGCAAAAACTTATATAACTTATAAAAATACTGACTCATTCATTGCCTTTTTGCTTAATAAGTAATGATAACTATCTGAATGAATATTTATAATGAAAATAATAAAATATTCCTTGGAAAATTGACACTTAAGCTGAAAAATAAATGAAAAAGGCGCCAATGTCGAAACGATAAACTTGCAGAAAATATACGGATCTCTCGCTGAAGAACACGTTTAATTTTAATTTATTTAAACGCCAAACATAAAATACTGAGGAGGGGCTCGAGATTTGTTGCTGTGGAAACCGAATGTGTGTTTCTGGACCCTGGACAGAGCGGACACGCTGAGACAAATCGGCCACGCAGGGGCGCTGTGGGCAGTGCGATGGAAGTGACGTCATTATCGTGCGCCGCAGACTTCAAAATTCATGCGTAAACAACTTCACGTCGGGGATTTTCCTCTGCTTTCACAAACGTTTCGTTCAGGATGGTTGTGTGTAACTTTTACCTTCAGGGTCGATGTCGTTACGGTGAAAAGTGTTGGAATGAGCACCCGAAAGGAGGAAACAGAGGAGGTGGAGGAGGTTACAACGACAATTATAACCGCTCCTCTGGTCAGCAGCCGTTCAGAGGAGGAAGTGGAGGTAAAATAAATAAACATCCACTGCTAAAAATGATTTGTTTGTTCTTGTTCACTCACTGAGTAGCTCGTGTTAATTTTACCCTGACCATATTTAATGTCGAGGTGTTTTTCAGTCGTAATGAGCAGGAACTAAAACAGTTGTCTGGCCAAAGATAAACGATGCAACTACACATTTAGATAAAAAATACTATATGTACAAAAGGTGGAAATGAAGTACTCTAGAAAAATATATTAATTAGATCACATATAAAGAAAATGTGTGTATATATTTTTTTCCTCACATATATTGGCATTATTCGTCCATATATATTGACTATTATCCATTAAAAAGAAGAACATATATAAGTCTTTGTCTGTATTAATAGAAATGGAGAAGCATGCTTGATTGACAAAACAAATTGTATTATTTAATTGTAAAAGTCTGAGCATTTCCCAACATAATGCAAAGAGAGCAGAAAGTGATATGTTTCCCAATCTTTTTTTTAATATATATTATTTTCAGCTTCATGTGTACAAAACAAAGAGTCAAGTCAATTATATGACTAGATTTAGTAAATTTGCCAGTTTTTGTTTGGGGTTTTTCTAACATGACATTCTCATGGTCAGTTTGGCTCCGATAAACAAGTAGCCGGAGCACACGGCATTATTTTAACACTTTGATTAGTCTCTGCAGAGTTCTTAACTTTACAAGTGATTGCTGTGATTTTTATAGAGAAAAAGTTTTGCAGCAGCTGTGGTTTGACCAACACATTACACCGTTAGTGGCAAATGTCAGAATCTGTTAGCTGAAGCTGATGTTTCTTTGCTGATGCTTGCAGGGTTTGGAAACAGAGTTTGGGTGAATCCTTCCCAGCAACGAGGCAACTACATCCAGCCTTCAACCTTCTCACAAGAAAGGAGCAACTGGGGTCCTGGAGGAGGTGGAGGGGGGAGAAGGGAGAATGTGAAGAGCTCAGACTTCTCTTTCTCAACTCAAAACAGATTCTCAGATCTCAGTTCTTCAAACACATTTGAAAGGGGAGGAAGAGGAGGGGCAGCAGCAGCAGCAGGAGGAACAACTGGGGAGGAAGATGACGATAAGAAACTGTGAGTTTTCTTCTTTTTTTATTTGACTCGTTGCTTCAAAATGATTTTCTACGCATCGTTTCTATATTTTAAATTCATGCTCAATCAGGGAGGTGATTCAGATGGACATGGACGTTTGGGAGAGTTCAGGACAGTGGGGCTTCTCGTGTTACTCCTGCTCCAAAGCATCCATATCTGGTTTGTGTCAAATAATCTAAATGCAGGTTTCTTGTTAGTTTAATGACGGGACTAGTTTAAAACAATAACAATAAGCTGAACGTGTTTTGTGTTTGTTTGGTTCACAGGTTTTACTGAGTTGTCTCCAGAGGAGCTCAGACTGGAGTACTACTCCACACGAGCATCAGGAGATCTGCAGAGCTACGTAAATACTCACTCATGTTCCTAATATTTGTCTACAGACCAAAATTAAGGTGGTTGTTCTGTCTGCTAACATCTAAATAAAGTTGATTCGTGACTTTTTGTGTCAAAGTATTCTTCTCAGTGACGGTGTTGCAGCTTAATCCTGTTTATTTTGTTGTTAAAACGAATCGTTTGCGCTCACTTTTTGTCCTGCGTGAATATGACAGAAACTCTTGTTTTTTGTGTTCAGCTCAACGGCATCAATCAGTTGCTCAGTAAGTGGAAAAGCAGAGTTCAGGAGCTGAAGATCATGAGTCCAGCCACACGTGGAGCCTTGGTGAGACACAAATATAACACACACAGCTACTAACGGTATGTTTGTGTGTGTTTGTCTGAAATCAATAGGCAGGTTTTAAAACGTGTTTTTTTTTTTTTTTTTTTTTTTCAGCTTGCAGAGTTAAATGGGACAGCGCCGCCGCAGTCATCAACAGGTGGCTTTGGTTCCTCACCAGCGACAACTTTTGGATTCCCCTCATCGAGCTTTGGAAGCAAAGGTCGGCTGTTATCGTCACAGACAAAACAAATGAAAGAAACTGACTGCTTGTACCAATAAGGCAGAAAAAACAATTGGAAAAATTGCATTTTCTGCAAAAATGCAGTGTGAATGCTTAAGGGGGGAAGAACTTACTGAAAACCAGTAGCTGAAAGAGGCAGCAAAAGGTAAAAGGAACACAACAACTGAAATTAGCAGAAAGAAGTTAATTAGGCTGAAAGAGGCAGAAATTTACATGAAAATTTAGAAATTTTCTGTAAACATCTGAAATTTGCTTAAAAAAATGCTGAACAGGTAGAAGAAAGCAGAAAGAATGCATCTTTGTTCAATTAGACTGAAAGAAGCAGAAACAAACACAAAAAAGTGGAAATTATCTGAAAAAAGCTGAAATTGGCAAAAAAAAAACCTGCTGAAAAGTAGCTAAAGAAGCAGAAATTACCATAAGGAAGTGGAGAGAGACGAGTTTTGCTGAATTAGGCTGAAAAAAGTTTAAATAAGTGCAAAAAATGTAGAATTAGCTGGAAAAGCTAAAATTAGCATAAAACAGCTCAATAGTAGCTGAAATTCCTTGTCCTTTGTGCTGGAACTCTGGCACAACAATTTCCTGAGGGATCAATAAAGTTCTATCTTATCTTAAATAGCAGAAAAAGCTGAAACTTGTATAAATATGCTGAAAGGAGCAGAAATGAGTTAGAAGCACACAAATGTTGTAGTTATCAGAAAGGAGCACTAAACAGCCGAAGGTAGCTGAAAAAAAGTTTAAAGAAGAAGCTGAAGCAGAACAAAATGTGAAAGGAGCAGTAAAAGGTTGTAAACAGATGTAAAGATTTGAAGGATGTAAAATGAGCTCCATTCATTTTCTATGAGGGAAAGAAGTGGCAGAAAAGGCTAAATATTTCAAAAAGCTAAAGTAGCATCAATACCAAAAGACATAGCACCCTTCTCCTGAATGAGCTGAATGTTTTTATTTATGATTTGTTGAAATGGCACAAACATTATGGAACGAGAAAGATGCTGAAAAACGTACAGAAGAATGGATCACAATAGAGTGAATGCTTCATAAACATTCACACAGTTATTCTATAAAAATGTTGTTTTCCATCAGTCAGGAACAAGCTTTAAAATCAAAGTCTGCAAACTGAGACTAACCATTTTCTGTCGTGCTAATTCAGAGTGTTTCTCACCATGCAGACTTCGGCGTCCCTGCACCAGCCCAGGCCAGCAGTTTCAGCTTTACTGCTTCAGGATTCGGCTCCTCAGCTGCCCCATCATCATCATCACCTCCGGCTGGTTTTGGTAGCGCTTTAGCAGCTCCTACCCAACCTCTGTCTGGGCTTGGATCCTCCTCTACACTTTCAGCTTCGACCTTTTCATTCGCAACTCCCAACGCTGACAAGCCGGCTGCTCCTTCAGGATTTGGATCGGCCTCTGGGTTCAGCTTCTCCTCCACACCAAACACCGGAGGAGTGTTGGGGTCTTGTTTTGGTGCCGCAGCACCTGGAACTGCAGGTGGCAGCAGCACTTTGGCACCAACAGGATTCGGGGCAGCGAGCTCTACACCTTCAGTTGCTGCTGGGGGTGCATTGGACAGTCTGTTCTCAGCAGAGGGCAATCTTACTGAAGAAGAACTGATCCAGTTTAAGGCTAAAAGATTCACTTTAGGCCAGATTCCATTAAAGCCACCACCAGCTAGCATACTGGAGGTCTGATACTGTGGGGCGGGAAAGATTTGTGAAGTTCATTTTTTTTCTGCGCGGTGTGTCTGTTTCATCCTGCCAGTGACTTGTTTTAAAGTTTAACGCTGTTCAGAGACATTTCAAATCAGCACTGGAAAGTGAAAAACCGGCTTTTTGTTGTTTTGAATGTTTTCGAGACATATAGATTACATGCAGTTTAATACACAGAATTACTTTAAAAGCTAGGTTTTGTCACACAGAATTCTATTTTTGACAAATGAATTGGCTTATTTATCTGTATTTGTAAGACTGAATACGTAGACAAACCAATAAAGGTCTGGAACAATCATCCAGGCTCGTTTTGACAAGTCATATTTATTTAGATGGAGTAGCAGTTTCAGGCTTCAGCCAGGAGAGGGCGCCATACGAAAACCTTTAAATATATTGTAGCTCATAAAGAGACATTTTGAGACAGAGTTTTGTCAGCCTTAAAGAATTCACATATATTTTAGATTGTAAGGATTATCCATTAAATGCGGGAGAGCGCAGTAAACCATGTTAGAGGAAGCTGTATTCATTATGTATTTATTAGCCGAGCACCGGAGGGACAACGAGAGTAAAGCGGCGACAGAGACTGCAATAAGCAGTTTTATTGTGGAGGTTGCTGACTCCAGAATATTTTCAGCTGACAGGGACTTTGTGATGTTGCCGTGAGGTGAAAGGGAGCCAGAGTGGAGCGCCTGCCATGTCCAAAGCTTTGTGGATCCAACAAATGCACGCCGGTTACAGAACATTAACTGTGCTATGGTTTCTCTATGAGCAGTCTCCTCCCAGCTGCCCTTTGCTGGCAGATAATGCATAAATAATTCAACAGATTAAACAGAAACTTGTGAAAAGGCCCTCTCGTTTCACTGAATCTCGTTGAAATTGCTGTGCGGCTCCGTCATATTACCAAGCTGCTTGTGTTTGTGTAATGTATGCATGAGTGGAGAATAAATCAGCTGCATAACGGGAGGGAAAAGGCCAGGCCTAGTCGTTTATTTGTTATTTCACATGTGCCAGACCTGCAGTAATTTGTCTACCTTGTGCTATTTGTGAAAGCACTCGCACTACTGAGGTAAACGGTTTTCTTCTGTGCGCTTTTGGTCACGTAACTCGTTCCGCATTTTGGTTCAAAACCTTATACTGCTCATTTAAGCTTTTGTTCTGGTTCAGCTTTTTCGGCTTCTTTCTGATAATTTTAGCTTCCTTCAGCTCCTTTCTGCTCGTTGCAGCTTTTGTCATCAAATTCTGCTCCTTTCAGCTTTTTTCCTGCTTCTCAGCTACTTTTTAGGAATTTTTCTGTACATTTTAGTCCTTTTATCTGTTTTCGTTTTAATTTCTGCTTCTTATTTTTTCTCTAATAATTTTAACTTTTTATGTGCCTTTTGGCTTTTTTTGCCAATTAAAAAAAAATTCCCAGCTACTTTTTTAAAGCTAATTTCAGCCTATGTTCAGGCTGCTGTTTAATACACATTATTAGTGTTTAGCATACCCTTCTATACCGTTTCTTTTTATACTTTTAATTTTAGCTATTTGTGAGTAGGACCTTGAGTACACAATTTTGTTCCACCTCATGTACCACATGTGATGCGAATGACGATAAAGAACATTGAACCTTGAGTTTTGTTTTTTTTTCTCATTTCACTGTTTTCATTTCAGATCATTTAAGACTTTTGTACATTCAGCCTATTTCTGCTTGTTTCAGCTTATTCTGCTCAGTTTGGCTCTTTACTATGGGGTGCCATTTGTAAAATTACACAGGCAAAAATTAATATTTTGGTTTATTTCATAAGAAAAAATATTTATTTTTCAAAGTCGTAATGTCACCATGTTATTCATACATTTATAAATGTCATAGTTCCAAACTAAATATGTAATTTACAAGCTAAACATTTAGTTTACAAACTAGTTTGCAAGTTAAATATTTAGTTATTGAACTAAATATTTAGGTGTGAATTAAATATCTAATTTCCAAGCTAAATATTTATTTTCAAAACTAAACATTTACATTATAACCTAAGCAAATAGTTTAGGAAATAAATGTTAACTATTTAGCTCAGACCTAAATTTTTATTTTCCAAGCTAAATATTTAATTTCCAAAATAAATATTTAATTTGCTAACTGAATATTTTGTTTGGACCTACATATTTAACTTGCTAGCTAAATATTTAGCTCAATTTAACTAATTCTATTTAGTGCGAGTCACTGTCGTATGGAAGGTGGAACGTGACAACATTAAATAAATACATCATGAAATAAATAAATATTTGCTTATACTAGTTTACCTATTTGTTTTAAAGGGATAGTTCGGTCTATTTTGAAATGAATGATCCGCCTTGACCAGAGTCAAGCTAATGGGTAATTGCCGTAGCTGTTTTTTTTTTTTTTTATTGATGTTTTTATTGTAGTTTGTATTTTCAGGCAATTACAACAACCTTTGCTCAGAAATGTCATGTTGGTGTGACAGAACGCCGTATTATCAAGGCTAGGCCTCTCGGATGAATACTCTCCCTCTTTCTTCAGTACTTTCACTACAATTGTACAAGTGGGAATTCGGTACATTATTTGACAAAACTTTAAAAATGACCAAACTACGGTCTTTAAGATGACAGAAGTTCATTTTGGACTAGACTGGAGATGTTCCAATAGTTGTATACCCTCCCCTAGCATTTCTTTTAATTTCACATTTGAGCGCAGTGGTGCAGTGGAACACGGTCGTAGTGGTTCCTACATCACTGATGGCAGAAATAAGAGGTTAATAACACTGCGCTAAGTGGAAGAATGCTAATGAAGTGATGCACATTCAGAGTTCGCTGATTCCAGTAGAGCCTCCCTCCCTTTACAGCGCAGAACCAGTCTTACTAATGGGAGCAGTGAATCCTAAGGGTAGAACTGGTCGTGTTCAGCCAGTTTGCTCAATGGGAAACGCTGCATTGATCCTGCACCTGTGATTTACACCTATTTGAGTGGTCCCCCTCACGGGTGACTGAGTCTCACATATTTCACCTGCACAGGCACAGGTGTCTTTCCTTCAGAGCTTTCTGGATCCATAGCATGCGCACCAACATGAGTCAATCTGTGTGTATTTGAGGAACAAATGGTGATGCTCATGGCAGATGATCTGGACCACTGACATTTTTCTTTAAAACTGTCTGTATAAACACAAGACTTACAGAGGACTGCTTGTGAAGAGAACAGTTCCATCATCCATCCATCATCCATCCATCATCATCCATCCATCATCCAGCCATCATCCATCCATCCGTCATCCATTCATCATCCATCCATTCATCCATCATCCATCTGTCCATCATCCATCCAGCTATCCATCATCCAGCCATCATCCATCCATCCCTCATCCAGCCATCATCCATCCATCCCTCATCCATTCATCATCGATCCATCATCCATCTGTCCATCATCATCCAGCAATCCATCATCCATCCATCCATCCATCCATCCATCCATCCATCCATCCATCCATCCATCCATCCATCCATCCACCCACCCATCCATCCATCCATCCATCCATCCATCCATCCATCCATCCATCCATCCATCCATCATCCATCCATCCATCATCCATCCATGCGTATTGATCGATCAAATGAATGAATGAATCTGGAGCATCAAAGTCTCAACAGTCACCTTCACAGCTGATCTGTGCACTCATGTTGAATGATTTGTGTATTTGACTAATTGTATGTGCAGAATATTTCTACTTTTATAAATTGAAATGTGTACATTTGAAAACTGTTAATACTTTTGTGAAACTTCTGGTATTTTTGCGGATTTTATTATGCAGACAAATCTTGTTAGATTTATCTGATTTATCTTCATACTTCAACTCCTCCACTTGAGGTGACAGGCCAGACGAAGAGCGATTTGGAATACTTGCATGGACAGAAGATCAGAATCTGTGTTACCGGGGTCCTACCCTGGGACCAGACCTGAGGGAGGGGCTTGTTGGCGAGCACCTGGTGATCACACCTTTACTCATGTAGTCAAAGACAGGGGCTTTGGCGCTCTAACCCTGGCTTATGCAAGGTAGCACTTGGGAATGTTACATGCTCCCATAAAAAAGCCTTTAGTTATAATTTACAAGCAATTTCTTATTTTATATATTGTTTTAAAATATTTAAGTTATTTTCCTTTTTTCTGTTTGCACTGCTTTTGAAGCTACAGAAAAGTTATTGATTTCATTCATGTTACATGACATTAAAGTTTAGTCCACGCTGGAAACTAACCATTAACATCACAAGTTTTCAGATGAAACCATTAAACGACCAATACATTACACTCAGGGGCAAACTGGTGAGTGTGAAGAAAACAACGGGGGTCATGGGAGAAAAAATACTAAAACTGAAACTGACTAGGCAACAGAAAAACAGATGACTAAGGATATTTAATAAACTAAAAAGACCGAAAAATGTAATTCAGACCTACTGATTTTTCTTTTGGCTGCTCCCTGCGTTAGGGGTCGCCACAACAAACTAAGTCGCACGAAGACTTGGTAGTTATTTTTACGCTGGATGCCCTTCCTGATGCAACCACAGCCCTCTGTGTGGAGCAGAGAGCTGCTATCTAGGACACCTGGAGGAGCAGATGGTGGGGGTTAAGGGCCTTGCTCAAGGGCCTTATCAGACCTACTGATAAACAAGATAAATCTAAAACTAAGAGAATACAAATCAGAATGCACAATCCAGAAACCTATAGCATTATTTCACATTATACTCAATATGAGCACAATTATTTTGATTATCTTCAATGATTGAAGGTTCTTTATTTGTCATTCGCACCACATGTGGTACATGTGGTGGAACGAAATTGTGTACACAGGGTCCCAGTTACATCCACCAATAAAATGTATCACACACATATATATATATACATAAGTATATATATATATATATATATATATATATATATCATTTTCATTCTTGTGTTTTATATTAACAATCTGTCATTTTGAAGATATAGTTGGGCCATAGGATCCTGATTGTCAGGACATTTGTGAAAAAAGTCACACTTTATAACCACCAAACTGCTTCTTTAATGAATCAGAACACTGCTCCAACACGTCACCCCTGTCATCCAAAAGAAGCCCATAGACCACAAGATGATAATCGCTGCAATATGTTATATACATTTAAATTATTGTCTCTAGCAATTATTATTAAATAACTATTTTTCAATAATTATTATTACTTTTATCCATGTGTTTACATGTATCTTTTTTCTTACATAAACGTTTAAAGCTGTAATGACCAAATCTCACCACCTTCACTTCCAGAGTTAGCCACACGAGGGCGCTGTTTTCCCGAATCCTCTCCCGGCAGCAGCTCCTCCTCCTCCTCCTTCTCACCTCCCTCAGCAGTGCGTCCCTCGCCGCGCCTCAGATGCCGAGCGACCAGCCCAGCGAGCAGAATAATAATAATAATAATAATAATAATAATAGAAAACAAAACAAAATTAAAAAACAATGACATTCTTACACGAACGAGAGGGGCCAACATTTATTTGACAACTTCAGAGCCCGCACCTTGCCTCGGCTGCTTCTTGCTGTTCTGTGGTGAGTATTGCTCCAGATTTCATGCAGCTGCTCCTGCAATGGTCTGATGCTCAGCGTGTTGAAGATTCATCCACATAATCTGTTTAACGAGACTGATCAGAGACGTGATGGGATTATTCACGTCGAAGCTGCAGTA